TCCTCACTAGCAGCATGGAGCCGCTCAAATGTGCCACCTGTCAAGGGGTTTTTCTCATGCCCCTTATAACACGATGGACAGCCGTGATAAAAGCACCCAAGAAATTCCCAAACAATCTTTACTCCCTCAACTTCAGCAAAACCATCTACGACGAAACGTCCCACTCGTTTCTCACCTTCATTCAACGCATGTTGAATAAATACCCCCTCAGTATGAGCCACCCAATCTAACCACTGGATACCAGCGCTGGAGTATGTCTTGTTTTCACGACGGTAATCATCGGGCGGGGGGATGGCTAGGGTTTTTGGAGGCAGAAAGTTTGTGGTGAAAACTTTCATACAGGCCGAAGCAATGGTCGCACGACTAAAAGGATCTACACCAGTCTCTTCAAGGAATCCTTTTCGGAATAAAGTGGAGCCCTGGGCAAGAATGTCAACATCGTTTTTGCAGTAAAGCAATGCCTGCTTTCGAAAATCAAAAGTACCCGTGCGTACCGTCTCATACCATGCGAAAAAGTCACTCTTTTCATCAGTTGTCATGCGTTCAATAAACATTTTTCTCCAGGCAGAAAATCAAAAACAATTTAAATCAAAAAGCATGATTACAAAGAAGGACACACTAGATCAAGTAAAATAAAAAAAAAAAAGTAAAATAAAAAAACATGGTGGTACTTTTTTTTTTTACAAATAAGTTTCAAACTCTTCCTTTCGCTGCCAAAAGTCCCATGCGTCTGCTATATTCTTCAGCTGTGACTCGTCGTTTTCAACAAGCTTTTCGTAAAGCTTGCTGATTTTAACCTCAAAGCGTCTTGTGCTTCTGAGATTGTGAAGAATCGCCTCGGCAGCTCCCAAGATCCTTCTCTCCGACACATAAAGCTTGCTCGAATCTAGAGAACCCCGAATGGCTGGAATGAAATGGTCGGTCCACAGTCTCTTTACCACTTCACTATAGTTTCGCTCCAGAAAATATTCTGGCATCTCAAACAAACACTCATGTTGCACTTGACTGGGATGATCGACTTGACAGCCATAACATTGTTCCTTTCTGTACAGATGCACGACCTTATCCAATAGATGAACCACCACAGCTTTTACCGTATTCAGGAATGAAACGGTCCTTGCTCCGTCTACAGCATCATACTCTGTAGTAAGACCATAGCTATAAGCATAGCATGTATTGCCATCGTCGGCGTCGTCTTCTGTGTCTGAAGAATCTGCTGTTTTCCTTGGGGGGTCTGGTGAAGTAGATGGAGGTTGATACATATCCTGCCAGCCAGTAACATCAACGCCAACAACATCATTGTTGAGCTCGGGTGTCCAGATTGTTGGAGATGATGGCGGTCTGTCAGGAGCTTGTTCCAGGCTGCAGCGCGCGGGGAGAGATTTGTTTTTTCTCAGATCCAGGGGTTGTTCCAGGCTGTAACTTGCGGGGGGAGACTTGTTTTTTCTCAGATCCAGGGCTTGTTCCATGTCGCAGCTCGCGGGGAGAGACTTGTTTTTTCTCAGATCCATGGTTAGTCTTCAACGGTTGTCTTAGGGGGTCCTTAGTTTTAAATGATCTGGTGAGGGGTGGGACTTATTATGTTGAGGAGGAGGAGGAGGAGGAGGAGGAGGAGGAGGAGGAGTCATCTGCAAAAGTGAGAGTTTTTTTCACCATTATAATGTCTATCGCTGTTTGACTCTGTTTAAAAAGTTCTTTAAGCTTTGTAGATTTTTCATCGATCATTTTCAGCCAAGCAGCCAGAGGCACACGCAAAGATGTTTGAAAAACCCCACATGTAGAGTTGAAATACTCCAAAACAAAATCATCAGAGGGGTCCTTCCCCCGTGTCACCAAACGGCTTGAGCGGTAATACCATCTACCAGACGGGCCGCTTTTAGTTTCCCAGACGGTGCTTGTCAGGATTCTTTTCATTTCTGGTGGCGGCGGGTGAATATTTTCTTCCTCTTCTTCCACATTGAGGGGTTGCGATGAAAACTCTTCTTTGATCTCGACCACAGTTTGCGTTTCTTTGCTTTTTGATGCAGGTTTCATAGACATTGCACGTACAAGGGATGAATGATTCCACAATGGATCCACGATGGTTTCTTGATGCACTGCTTTTTCTGATACAACGGTTGCACGGAGATCTCTGGAAGCCACCAGAGTTAACACAGCCCAATCTGTTGAGGTCAACGTCGCTTTAACACTGCTGGGTCCATAGGTTTCTCCATTCTTCAGATTGTAGAAGTGCAGTTCGTTCGCCATATAGTTGAACACAAAACCCCAAACATCTCCATTTTCCAGACTCCATTTTTCATGAAGAGCCTCCGCGGGAGGGGTTTGAACCCGGCACAGATACTGCATCCGTTTCTTGACCGGCGCCCCCGACGGATGGTGGTAAGTTGTTACCGGCGTCTCGCTGATTAAACCCATATCGATGCGTCTCTTTGCCATTTTTCTTTTCTGAAAGTTTAGGTGACTTGTTGAGTGGAAATGACTGGCTTTTATCTAGTTTTGCATAGATTTCTTTTTTATGCCTGACTCCACCCCCTCACTATCTTCTGGCGGGAATATGGAGGGAGGGGTGGGGGCGACAGGGAGGATGTGACACCTGCTGTAAGGGAGGAGGAGGGGGTGGGTTGAGAGGGGTGGGGGCTGAGAGGGGTGGGGGCTGAGAGGGGTGGGGGCGACAGGGCGGATGTGACACCTGTATGTGAGGGGGAGGGGGGTGGGCTGAGAGGGGTGGGGGCTACCGGGGGGATGTAACACCTGTACGCGATAACACCTCGAACAAAGGGGCTCATTAGCATATCAAAGGGGGCTAATTAGCATAATTAGGGGGCGGGACTTAGAAGGTGTGACCTGTCACTTTTTTATGCATACTAATGAGATTGAAGCGGGATTGGTAATACTACTCGCTCACATAAGCCGTTAGCCTGGGGGTGATAGGCGGTGGTGCGGTGCAGCTTGACCCCCAAACCCTCTGCAACTGCGTTCCAGAGCTCCGAGGTAAACCGGGAGCCACGGTCAGAGGAGAGGTCAGATGGGGTCCGGAAGCCCGCCACCCACGTGCCGATTAATGCACGGGCCACGTCAGACGATACGGTGAGTGGAACGCCCTCTGGCCAGCGACTCGTCCTGTCCACCATCGTGAAGAGGTAGGTGAAACAGTGAGAGGGGTGCAGTGGACCTACGAGGTCAAAATTGATATGGTCAACACTCCTTTCGGGAACCGCAATAAGTTAAAAAGGGGCTCTAGTATGGCGGTGCACTTGAGCCCGTTGACAGGCCATGCATGAATCGACCCAGGTCTTCACGTCCTTCTTAAGCCCCTGCCACACAAACTTCTGCTACACCAACTTCACGGACGGTTTCTTGCCGGGTTTGGGAAGGTTGTTAATCGCCTCAAAAAGGGGTCTGCGCCAGTTCGCAGGGACTGGCGGTCGAGGCTTGCCCGTGGAGAAGTCGCACAACAACTTTGCGCCTGAGTCAACGACCGCGACCTCCTCCAGCCGTAATCATGATTCCGAGGCATTGAGGGTCTGCACCCTGTGGTCAGAGGCCTGGTCCGTGCTCATGCGGAGGTAATCGAGGCCCAGCTGCACAGCTGCACAGCTCCGTTGACCGCTCTGTAGAGGCAGTCCATGACCACGTTAGCCTTACCAGCGAAATGTTGGATGTCCGTGGTGTACTTGGATATGTACAAGAGCTGGCGTTGCTGGCGGGAGGACCCCAGCTCGGCCACCTTGGACATGCAGAATGTGAGTGACTTGTGGTCCACGAACGCCGTAAACTCACGGCCTTCCAGCAGGAACCGGAAGTGGCGAATCGCCAACCAGAGGCCAAGGAGTCCCCTGCCGAACGCGCTGTATTTGCGCCCCCTGGGGGTTAACTGTTTGGTAAGTGACTGTCAAAATGCTTATTTCCCAATTTGGGATGTATAAAGTATCTATATATCCATCTTTATTTTGAAAAGTACAACCGGAAGTCTTCCTTCACTGCACGGCTAACGTCCAAGCTAACGGCTAACCCGCAGAGATAACGTTCACTTATGGATAAAACAGCAACAACAACAATATTGACTCAACGCTTCACTCACCTGTCTCTCCGGAGCGACCACACAGTTCTTTAAACCTTCATTTCCGAGTTAAACCATAAACTCTGGAAGGACATGCGGTTAAAAGCCGACAAAAACACATTCATGTCAAATAAAAACTCACCTACAAAACATCGAGTTAGACAGAAATCACCGGAAGCACTTTAAAATAAAAACACGACGGGTCTGATTTAAAGGACACCGAACGTTATCTCTTTTTTATTTAGGCACAGTGGTGAAAAGTAACTAAGTAGATTTACTCAAGTACTGTACTTAAGTACAATTTTGAGATACTTGTACATGTTATGCCACTCTGTACTTCTACTCCACTACAGTTCAGAGGTAAATGGTGTACTTTTACTCCACTACATGTATTTAATACCTTTAGTTACTCTACAGATGTGGATGAATGATGTGAAATATAATCAAGTGTTAAAACAGACTTTAGTTCCACCTGGAGTAAATTCACAAGCTACCCTGCAGTATACAATGTCATTCAAACTAGCTGCACCTTTACCAGCTTTGAGAACACTTTCATGATCAATCATTATAAAACATATCATATATATTATTCTGAAATGGACCAATCTGCACAATCACTACTTTTACTTTTTGCTTTAACTATATTTGTATGATAATACTTTTCTACTTTTACTTGAGGAACATTTTGAATGCAGGACTTTTACTGTAACAGAGTATTCCTACACTCTGGTACTTCTACTTTTACTCAAGTACAAGACCTGAGTACTTCTACTTTTACTCTCAAGTACAAGATCTGAGTACTTCTACTTTTACTGAAGTACAAGATCTTAGTTATCCCACCTCTGGCAGTGAGATATTTAAATAAATATACCTAAATCCAACTTAATGAGGCCTAAAGAACACTTTGTTCTAGATATGTGGTGCGAAAAAAACGGAACAATGCTTCTAAATGTGTAATTTTATTAACACAATTTATATTGTACATTTCACCAGGGCTATCTAGGTCAGGATGTGATGAAACATCCCAGCATTCACAGCAAACAAAATCCTAAAGATCCCAACTTAAACCAAGGATAACAAGGAACATAATAACAAGCATATGTGAGTAAATACAAAATAAAATCATGCAGCAAAAGTTATATTGATGTTCAAATAGAGAATAAAATGTAATACACTTCATTTTTAAAGTTACATCAGTGTTAGATAAGATGATATTTGTAATAAAAGATACATCATTTGCATTTCCTTTCAAGACTTTGACAATAAACAAAACATTACATAAGGGATCTAAATAAAAAAAGACTCCCTGAAAAGTTAAAGGCACCAAAGCACACCTTAGTTCTTTATAGTGGAAAACATGCAAAGAGGGACCTCTGGTGGGGAATTTAAAATCTGCAAATAGCTCACAGTGAGCAGGATGGAAGATTAAAGTTCATTTGAAGCCACGTTAAACATTAACCCAATGAGTATAAGTATTCAAATTGAATACTGCTTCAACACTATGCATGCTATAATACACATCCTTTTACCAACAGTTCATTTACTTAATTACTGCATCATTATGACAAAAGATTATTTAAATGGAGTATGCTTTTTTTTTTAGATGCAAAATGTAATAAAAATAGGTAATATTTAAACTCACAATCAGTTTATACAATATGTGTAGAGACATGAATACAACAATAAGAGCACAGCATCTTAATGCATCAATTCAGAACCATTTAGGAACAATTACTACTTACATTTGACCTTTACTGCAAATAAAATAGTATAATTAGTAGTGTCGTGAATTTTCCAGCATTTTTCCTTGTCATTTTAAAATCTACAATTGTAAACAATGTCCAGTGCTTTAAATGTTTGGGGTTTTCTTCAGTTGTGGAAACATTTGTTGCATTTTCCTGAAAAAATATTGCAGGAATGATGATTTGCAAAATGCCAACCACTCTTTGCATTTACCAAAAAAAACGTTGTCTAGTATCTGAGGATTGCCCCTTTTCCTCTCAATAACTTCTTAAGCTCACAACATCTCAGCAGTGTTTCCACTGGGAGCATAAAGACGAAGTCCTGCGTAGAGAGGCTCAGTGAAAGTGGTCTGGACTCTGTGCAGGAGGGTCATGGTTTCCTCTGAGACGCTCCAGAAGGACAGAATTCCTGCACTTTGATCCAGGTAAACTCCAACTTTGGAGGACTTAGGACCTAAGACAGGTGTTGTGAAAGTGTTATGTTTGAAATCATAACACTTTTTGTAAAAACCTAATGCCCACGACTTGTCACTATATCCAAATTTTTCATTTACAGTTTCATTGTCTTTGTATGCTACAGCCACTGCAATTCCTCCCACACCTTTCTCCACCTCCCAGTAACAACGTCCAGTCAGACTCTCTTTACTCAGGACCTGCCAACAATCAATGAACCTTTCTATGTGACTAGGATAACTTTGTTCTAGTGTTGAAGTTGCTTTTCGGTTCCCCACAGATAAGTACATACGTGCGCTTGCTGTGTTTGGATCCAGTGTGATTTTACGTGAGTATTTCAAGTATTCAGCTCTGGTCTGGGGCTGTGGTTGTGACAGTAATATGTCCACATCCACTTCAGTCGGTGAGACATTTGTCCATTTCTCTTTCAGGACGTCCAGTAGTTTATCTCTGAATTTTGACAAAGCGGCTTTCACATCTTCAAAGTAGCTCAGAGGACGGACGTTGATGCTGGATGATTCTGTAGATTCACCGAGAGGTGGCAGTGAGGGGTAGCTTTGAATAAACTGGGTGTGATCCTCTGTGTGAGAGAGCAGCTCAAGTGTAGCGTCTTTCTTCTTCAGATAAGAGATCTCCTTATGCAGCTTCTCCTGAAGCTTTCTGACTCGATTCACTTCAGTTTTTTGCTCAGATCTGACCTGCTGCTTCACATCAGAGCTTCTTTTCTCCATGAGACGGATCAGCTCAGTGAACATCTTCTCACTGTCCTCCACTGCTTTATCAGCAGAGCCATTGACGGCCTCCACCTCCTGCTGAAGCAGCTTCACCTCCTTCTCTCTGTCCTGGATTCTCTGCTGGATGTTTTGTCGACTCCCCTCCAGCTCTCTCTCCCTCTCAGTCCTTTCTGCTGCAGCTGACACTGTGTCGTGGCCTTTGTGTTCGTCCACAGAGCAGAGATAACAGATACACTGCTGATCAGTGCGGCAGAACATCTTCATCACCTCGTTGTGACGAGAGCAGATGTTCTCCTGGAGCTTCTTGGAGGGCTCCACCAGCTTGTGTTTTCCAAAGGCAGGAGATTCATAGTGAGGCTGGAGGTGTTCCTCACAATAAGAGATCAAACACTGCAGACAGGACTTACAGGCTCTCAGTTTTCTCCCAGTGCAGACATCACAGGCCACATCTTCAGCTCCAGCATAGCAGTGATCAGCAGGAGCAGCTTGGAGTCCAGTCTTCTTCTGTTTCTCCACTAAATCTGCTAACATGATGCTTTTCAGCAGGACAGGCCTCGGTGTGAAGCTCTTTCTACACTGAGGGCAGCTGTAGACTTCCTTCTCATCCTCTTTGTCCCAGTGGGTTTGAATACAATTCATGCAGAAACTGTGTCCACAGGGAATAGTCGCAGGATCCTTAAGTACATCCAGACATATCGAACAGCAAATAGCGTCCTGGTCCAGCTGAGCTCCTTTCTGTGCCATTATGCCTCCCTTACAGCGAGTGACAGTCTGCTGTTATATAGCCTGCCAGCTCACTCACTTCACAACAGTTATGATTCACCTAAATCGAAACATAAGTTCTGTGAAGGGGAGGGAACAAGTGATTATCTGTGAGATCTGCAGAAAGTAGGACAGGCTTACACGCTTAACTTCATTCCAGAAAGAGGAGCGGTTTTATAATATACAGGGTTCAAGGATTCAAAATTTCAAGGCTTTTATTGTCATTCGTACATAGCTACAGTGTAGTTATGTCGATGGAAATCTTAGGTCACATGCTCCTCCAACAGTGCAACACAATACAACAGATAACACAGGGTGTGTTTAGTACTCTTTATTCCCGGAATTAAGCACATTGTGACAACAGGACTTTGAGCTGACTGAATGATCTTTTAAATGACGATACCGCTGCCAAATAAATTAAGTGGAACACAAGGGACAATATTTCCCTTTGTGATGTAGTGGAGTATAAGTATAGGATAGTATAATACAAAATACTTTAAAGTAAAGTAACCAAGAACTGTAGAGTAAAAGTTCTTAGTCACTTTTGAACTCGTATGTAATGTGCTGTAAAATTAAAGTTTATTTATTTTTAAATATAATTTTTATTTCTGATAGTAAAAGCCAGAATGAAATGAAGATTATTCCAATCAAAAGGAGCTTTGTATTTAAATGACCTGCTTCCTTGAAAAATTAGGGACAAATAAAGTGAACACATTTAAAGATAAACCTTATCCAATGAAACTGTCTTCTAGATTGAGGCTGCAGCCAATTGGTGACTTCTTAAATACTGACAAAAAGAAGATCATTAATGCCTGCATCATTTTACAGTAAATATCATATCACAGTTCCTTCATGCTGCCACTTGGAGCCACCAGTGCTCCATGTTTCCTGTAATGCAACTTCAAGTGACTTAACTCAGCCAAACAAAAACCTGCATTGGTTGTAGGCAAGCAATCGTTTGTATGTTTAAAGAGCTATTTTATTATCTTAAGGTGGAAATGCATTTACTCACATTCTGTATTCAAGCAGAATTTATATATTATAGACAGGATGGGTGTACCTGCGTTTCTTTTGAATTTATCTTTCTTGAACTAGTAAAGGGAAAAGAGACTGCAATACTGTTTTTGTTTTTTACCTTATAATAAATGTCCAGAGGATCTTTCGAGGGGGGGGGGGGGGGGGGGGGGGGGGGGGGGGGGGGGGGGGGCGGAAGTCATTTCTAAATAAAAGCCCTGGTCTGGTAAAAGTGGGGATGCCTTTTTTAAGTGTTTTTAACTTATCGTTAGAAATAACAAGAGAGAGCCGTAGAGACAATCTTTAATGTCCTCTCAGTCTATTTTGATAAGACTAGTTTTCCAATGTTCGGTTAATTTGGAAAAATATTGATCGATAACTCACACAACAACACAAACGATGTCTCTTAACAACCATAGTTAGGTAGACGAGGAGGTTCAGCCTTATTTGCCTGCTGGTTGAATACTATATTCTGTAGTGCCGAGAGACGGGAGTCAGAGGTGGTGTGTCAAAAGACAAAGCTAGTCTTTTATTCAACATGGAACAGCATGTAAACAAACTCAAGCCCGGGGAAACTCACTGACCGGAAAACGGAAGTTCCTCTAAACTAAAATGTCCGTGCGGAACAATACCCCCACCCGTAGTTCCGTGGGTGAATTATGTCAACCCACCACACAAGCCCCCCCAGGATTCACCCATGATCAAAATCATTGCGTCGGGGAGGAAGGACCACCCGACCCCGGCGAGTAAGGACAACAGGGGCCGAAGAGGGCGGGGCCGCAGGCGTGCCCTTGCCGTCGACAAGCTCAGAGGGCAAGGGCATCCACGAGGGCGAGGGCACCCTGACAGGGGGCGGGACAAGGGAGGACGGCCCGACGTGGGGGCAGAGCCAACTCCAACAGCCTGGAAACGTCCACATGAGCAGGCTTACGGCCCGTCCACACAGCAGCGTTAAAAAAAGCTTCCAACGCTTCTGCCCATTCACTTTGAATGGGGTGACGTCACTTTGCCTCACTTTTCGCCGAACTGCATTGTGGGAAGCAGAGCGGAGATTTTCCAGGCATCTCAGGATTCAAAAGTTGAGCAATGTTCAACTTTTGAAGCTGAGGTGGAAGCGTCAGCCAATCAAATCCCGTGTATGCAAATCTGACAGTTCAAGTGCGAGCCAATCAAACCGCGTGTAAGCTGGGAGAGACATACCGCAGGTCATTTCCTCGTATTCCAAAAAATGGAGGAGAAATTAGCGGTAGGGAATCACCCGGTGCTTTATGACCAGTCCCTATTTACCTACCGGGATACAAACCGGAGGAGCCAGGCATGGAGGGAGGTGGCAGAGACAGTGGTAGGTTTTAGCCTGTTTGGGGAGTTTATATCCAGTTTACTTCGGGCTTTTTATTTTTTTTGCTTCGTATGTCGGGGGCGGGAGATTCATGTGATTGGTTGTTGGTCGCGTTGCTCGCAAAAAATCCCCAAGCTTCAGATACGCCCACCTCCAAGATTTTTTTAACGCTGCTATGTGGACGCTCCGTAAATCCTATCAATGGACACAGTCTCAGGTCTGCCACCAACGTCCACCACCAGGTCCTTGTCCCCGTGCCGTATGACCCTGAACGGGCCGTCGTAGGGGTCCGCGGTGGGCGTCGTGACGAAGAAGACAAAATCCGCCCGACCGTAGCCCGGGGGAAACCCGGAAAGCGGGGTGGGGTTGCTGTGCTGCGATGTGGGACAGGTGTGAATGTCCCGGCGGGTCTCCAGCAGGGAGGAGCTTGCCTAGCTGCAGACCAGGGCACAGTGGCGCACCTGAGGCTGAACATAACCCACAGGAGCTTATCCACCCAGTTGCCGTCAGTCAAGCCGGCACGCAGGGTTGCCTTCAGGGATCGGTGGACACGCTCACATAAGCCGTTAGCCTGGGGGTGATAGGCGGTGGTGCGGTGGTGCGGTGGCGCGGTGAAGCTTGACCCCCAAACCCTCGGCAACTGCGTTCCAGAGCTCCGAGGTAAACCGGGAGCCACAGTCAGAGGAGAGGTCATATGGGGTCCGGAAGCGCGCCACCCACGTGCCGATTAATGCACTGGCCACGTCAGAAGATGCGGTGAGGGGAACGCCCTCTGGCCAGCGGGTCGTCCTGTCCACCATCGTGAAGAGGTAGGTGAAACCGTGAGAGGGGGGCAGTGGACCTACGAGGTCAAAATTGACATGGTCAAACCTCCTCTCGGGAACCGCAAAAAGTTAAAAAGGGGCTCTAGTATGGCGGTGCACTTGAGCCCGTTGACAGGCCATGCATGAGTCGACCCAGGTCTTCACGTCCTTCTTAAGCCCCTGCCACACAAACTTCTGCTACACCAACTTCACGGACGGTTTCTTGCCGGGTTTGGGAAGGTTGTTAATCGCCTCAAAAAGGGGTCTGCGCCAGTTCGCAGGGACTGGCGGTCGAGGCTTGCCTGTGGAGAAGTCGCATAACAACTTTGCGCCTGAGTCAACGACCGCGACCTCCTCCAGGCGTAATCCTGATTCTGAGGCCTTGAGGGTCTGCACCCCGTGGTCAGAGGCCTGGTCCGTGCTCATGCGGAGGTAATCGAGGCCCAGCTGCACAGCTCCGATGACCGCTCTGTAGATGCAGTCCCCGACCACGTTAGCCTTACCAGCGAAATGTTGGATGTCAATGTTGTACTCGGATATGTACGAGATCTGGCGTTGCTGGTGGGCGGACCCCAGCATGGCCACCTTGGACATGCAGAATGTGAGTGACATGTGGTCCACTAACGCCGTAAACTCACGGCCTTCCAGCAGGAACCGGAAGTGGCGAATCGCCAACCAGAGGCCAAGGAGTCCCCTGCCGAACGCGCTGTACTTGTGCCGCCTGGGGGTTAACTGTTTGGTAAGTGACTGTCAAAATGCTTATTTCCCAATTTGGGATGTATAAAGTATCTATAAAGTATCTATATATCCATCTTTATTTTGAAAAGTACAACCGGAAGTCTTCCTTCACTGCACGGCTAACGTCCAAGCTAACGGCTAAACCGCAGAGAAAACGTTCATTAGGGATAAACAGCAACAACAACAATATTGACTCATCGCTTCACTCACCTGTCTCTCCGGAGCGACCACACGGTTCTTTAAACCTTCATTTCCGAGTTAAACCATAAACTCTGGAAGGACATTTGGTTAAAAGCCGACAAAAACACATTCATGTCATCTAAAAACTCACCTACAAAACATCGAGTTAGACAGAAATCACCGGAAGCACTTCAAAATAAAAACACGACGGGTCTGATTTAAAGGACACCGAACGTTATCTCTTTTTTATTTAGGCACAGTGGTGAAAAGTAACAAAGTAGATTTACTCAAGTGCTGTACTTCAGTGCAATTTTGAGATACTTGTACATGTTATGCTACTCTGTACTTCTACTCCACTACAGTTCAGAGGTAAATGGTGTACTTTTACTCCACTAAATGTATTTAATACCTGTAATTACTTCACAGATGTGGATGAATGATGTGAAATATAATCAAGTGTTAAATCAGACTTTAGTTCCACCTGGAGTAAATTCACAAGCTACCCTGCAGTATACAAAGTCATTCAAACTAGCTGCACCTTTACCAGCTTTGAGAACACTTTAATGATCAATCATTATAAAACATATCATATATATTATTCTGAAATGGACCAATCTGCACAATCACTACTTTTACTGTCGCTACTTTAACTATATTTTGATGATAATACTTTTCTACTTTTACTTTAGTAACATTTTGAATGCAGGACTTTTACTGTAACAGAGTATTCATACACTCTGGTACTTCTACTTTTACTCAAGTACAAGATCTGAGTACTTCTACTTTTACTCAAGCACAAGATCTGAGTACTCCCACCATAGCAGTGAGATATTTAAATACATATACCTAAATCCAACTTAATGAGGCCTAAAGAACACTTTGTTCTAGATATGTTGTTACGGTTTTGTATTTATGTTTTCATTTTCCACCTTTTGTTTTGAAATGTTTTCCTCCTTGTGTCTTCTCTGTTCCTTCTTCCTGTGTTTGCCTTCCTGTCATTAGTTCCCCTGGTGTGTCTGATTGTGTTCACCTGTTGCCCTTGTGTTTCTGCCTCTCTTACCCCAGCTGTGTCTTGTCTTGTGATTACCCCTCCCTGTATTTAGTCTTGTCTCTTCCTGTGTTCCCCTGTCGGTTCATTGTTGGTTTTTCCTGTCTTCCTCCATGTCAGTCACGGTTGTCTCTCCTGTCTCCCTCCATGTGGGTCATGGTCAGTTTTTTTGTACAACCCATTTGTTTCATGCCTTGTTTTGATCAGCTTTTAAAATAAAGCTCGCTTTTTTGTTACGAGACCTGTTACCTTTTTGATAGTCTGCATTTGGGTCCTACCCTTCCACGCCATCCTAACAGAATGAACCGACCAGCTTTGGACTCAGCAGACTCGGATCGTTTTGCTCTACAGGCAGAATGTCTTGGGTACTCTCTGAAGTACATTTTTTATACCTGGAATGGCGCCTCTTCTAGACGTGGTAGAGAGGCTGCGTTGAAGGAGGCACGTCAGGAGGTTGCTCGCCAGCCCTGGCTTAGGAGCATGTTGCCTGAGTGGCTACAACTTTTCACAAGTAGTCCTGAGGACTTGTCCGAAGCCTCTAACCCTTTCCTGGGGTATGACCAGGCCTGGGGAGGCCCACAGATCCTCCAAAGAATCTCTAGGAGACGCAAGACCAAGATTCCAGCCCGTGCTCCAGTGGTTCCAGCTCCATTCTCTGGCCCTTTTTTGGGATCCCGCCTGGCGTTTGGAGGTCCACGGAGCCTCCAGGGGGCCTCGGAGAAACGCAAGGTCGGGAGGCCGGCTCGTGGTCCAGTACCGGCCCACACAGCCATGGATCCGTGCACCAGTACCGGCCCACACAGCCATGCTTCCGTGCTCCATTACCTGGCTCACACAGCCAGGGTCCAGGCTTCTGTTCCGTGCCCAGCAGCCATAGTCACTGCTCCAGAACCGGACCTTACAGTCATGTTTCCGTGTTCCAGTGCCGGTCCACACAGTCATGGTACCGTGCTCCAGTACCATCCCACACAGCCATGGTTCCGTGTTCCGGTTCCGTGCCCAGCAGCCATGGTGCCTGCTCTAGTACCGGCCCACACAGCCATGGTTCCGGCTCCAGAACCGGCCCATATAGCCATGGTTCCAGCCCCAGTTCTGGCCCCAGCAGCCATGGTTCCGGCCCCAGTTCTGGCCCCCAGCGGCCATGGTTCCGGCCCCCAGCAGCCATGGTTCCGGCCCCTGTTCCCTGGTCCCAGCAGCCATGGTCCCGACTTCAGTTTCGGCTGCAGTACTGGCTCCCCGGCCGACGCCAGCCCCCCCGTGTCCTGTCGGTGGTCCGGCCGACTCCAGCACCCCGTTCTCCTGTCGGTGGTCCGGCCGACTCCAGCACCTCGTGTCCTGTCGGTGGTCCGGCCGACTCCAGCACCTCGTGTCCTGTCGGTGGTCCCGCCGACTCCAGCACCTCGTGTCCTGTCGGTGGTCCGGCCGACTCCGGCACCTCGTGTCCTGTCGGTGGTCCGGCCGACTCCGGCCCCCCGTGTCCTGTCGGTGGTCCGGCCGACTCCGGCCCCCCGTGTTTTGTCAGTGGTTCGGCCCACTCCAGCCCCTCGTGTTCTGTCGGTGGTCCGGCCGACTCCAGCACCCCGTGTCCTGTTGGCTCTATGGCCGACGCCTACCCCATGTCCTGTGATGTTGGAGGTCCCGCCGACTACTCTTCTGCCGGGGGTCCTGCCAACCCTATGTCCTGTGCTGTTGGAGGTCCCGCCGACTACTCTCCTGCCGGGGGTCTTGCCAATCCTATGTCCTGTCCGTTGGGGGGGTCCCGCCGACTACTCTTCTGCCGGGGGTCCTGCCAACCCTATGTCCTGTGCTGTTGGAGGTCCCACCGACTACTCTCCTGCCGGGAGGTCTTGCCAACTCCATGTCCTGTCCCATTGGGGGTCCCGCCGACTACTCTCCTGCGGGGGTCTTGCCAATCCTATGTCCTGTCCCGTTGGGGGTCCCGCCGACTACTCTTCTGCCGGGGGTCCTGCCAACCCTATGTCCTGTGCCGTTGGAGGTCCCGCCGACTACTCTTCTGCCGGGGGTCCTGCCAACCCTATGTCCTGTGCCGTTGGAGGTCCCGCCGACTACTCTTCTGCCGGGTGGGTCTTGCCAATCCTATGTCCTGTCCCGTTGGGGGTCCCGCCGACTACTCTTCTGCCGGGGGTCCTGCCAACCCTATGTCCTGTGCCGTTGGGGGTCCCGCCGACTACTCTTCTGCCGGGGGGTCCTGCCAACCCTATGTCCTGTGCTGTTGGAGGTCCCACCGACTACTCTCCTGCCGGGAGTCTTGCCAACTCCATGTCCTGTCCCATTGGGGGGTCCCGCCGACTACTCTTCTGCCGGGGGTCTTGCCAACCCTGTGTCATGTGCCGTTGGGGGTTCAGCTGTGGGTCCTGCCAACCCCATGTCCTGTCCCGTTGGGGGTCCCGCCGACTACTGCTCCGCCAGGTTTCCTGCCAACACCAGATCCTGTCCTGTTGGGGGTCCCGCCAACACCTGCTCCACCAGATTTCCTGCCTACACCATGTCCTGTCCTGTTGGGGGTCCCGCCGACACCTGTCCCGCCGGGGGTCCTGCCAGCTCCATGTTCTGTTCTGTTGGGGGTCCCGCCGACACCTGTCCCGCCGGGGGTCCTCCCAACTCTGTGTCCTGTCCTGTTGGAGGTCCCGCCGACACCTGTTCCACCGGGGGTCCTGCCAACTCTGTGTCCTGTTCCGTTGGAGGTCCAGTCGACACCAGCCCTTGCTCCATCCGGGGTCCCATTGACACCAGTCCATGTCATGTCCAGGATCCCGTCTACGCCTGTTCCGTCGGCTCCGGTTCCTGTCTGGCCGACAACGGGTCCTGCCCGGCCTCCGGAGCTGTCCCGTCAGCGCCTTCCTGCCCGTCCTCCGGAGTTGTCCCGTCAGCACCTTCCTGCCCGGCCTCCGGAGCTGTCCCGTCGACGCCTTCTTGTTCGCCCTCGAGCCCGGCCCCCTGAGTGCCGGGGCCTTCGCCCTCGAGCTCGGCCCCCCTGATTTCCCCAGCCGTGGCCTTCGCCCTCGAGCCCGGCCCTCCTGACGCTTTCAGCCGCTGCCTTTGCTCTCATGCCCGGCCCCCTGAGTTCGCCCGCTGTGGTCTTCGCCCTTTTTTGAACTCTGCCTTGCCCCCGGGCCGTCCGCCCGAGACCCCCTCCTTGATCTCTGCCTTGCCCCCGGGCCGTCCGCCCGAGACCCCCCTCCTTGATCTCTGCCTTGCCCCCGGGCCGTCGCCCGAGACCCCTTCCGGGTCCTCCGCTGTGCCCCTGGGCTGTCAGCCCAAACCCGTCCTCCAGACCCCCTCCACCCACCCTGCTGGAATTTTTTTGGACTTTTGGGGGTTTTCTTGGGACGTCTGGAATCCGTCCCTTGAGGGGGGGTTCTGTTACGGTTTTTGTATTTATGTTTTCATTTTCCACCTTTTGTTTTGAAATGTTTTCCTCCTTGTGTCTTCTCTGTTCCTTCTTCCTGTGTTTGCCTTCCTGTCATTAGTTCCCCTGGTGTGTCTGATTGTGTTCACCTGTTGCCCTTGTGTTTCTGCCTCTCTTACCCCAGCTGTGTCTTGTCTTGTGATTACCCCTCCCTGTATTTAGTCTTGTCTCTTCCTGTGTTCCCCTGTCAGTTCATTGTTGGTTTTTCCTGTCTTCCTCCATGTCAGTCACGGTTGTCTCTCCTGTCTCCCTCCATGTGGGTCATGGTCAGTTTTTTTGTACAACCCATTTGTTTCATGCCTTGTTTTGATCAGCTTTTAAAATAAAGCTCGCTTTTTGTTACGAGACCTGTTACCTTTTTGATAGTCTGCATTTGGGTCCTACCCTTCCACGCCATCCTAACATATGTGGTGCGAAAAGAAACGGAACAATGCTTCTAAATGTGTAATTTTATTAAGTTTATCATCACCTTCACACAAATTATATTGTACATTTTACCATGGCTGATATCCAGGTCAGGATGTGATGAAACATCCCAGCATTCACAGCAAACAAAATCCTAAAAATCCCAAGGATAACAAGGAAACATAATAACAAAGGTGTTATCTCTGGTGGGGAATTTAAAATCTACAAAAAGCTCACAGTGAGCAGGATGAAAGATTAAAGTTCATTTGAAGCCACGTTAAACCATTAACCCAATGAGTATAAGTATTCAAATGGAATACTGCTTCAACACTATGCATGCTATAATACACAACCTTTTACCCAACAGTACATTTACTTAATTACTGCATTATGACAAAAGATTATTTAAATGGAGTATGCTTCATGTTTTTAGATGCAAAATCTAATTATTAAATGCAATTAAAATAGGTAATATTTAAACTCACAATCAGTTTATACAATATGTATAGAGACATGAATACAACAATAAGAGCACAGCATCTTAATTCATCAATTCAGAACAAATTATGAGAAATTAGTACTTGAATTTTACCTTATTGCAAATAAAATAGTATATATCACAGTATAGTGAATGCCTGAGTACTTTTCCAGCATTTTTCCTTGTCATTTTAAAATCTACAAATGTAAACAATGCCCAGTGCTTTAAATGTTTTGGGTTTTTCTTCAGTTGTGGAAACATTTGTAGCATTTTCCTGAACAAATAATACAGGAATGATGATTTGCAAAATCTTTTAACTAACTGCGTCATAAGTGCCAACCACTTGTTGCATTTACCAAGTTGTCTAGTATCTGAGGATTACCCCTTTTCCTCTCAATAACTTCTTAAGCTCACAACATCTCAGCAGTGTTTCCAATGGGAGGACTAAGACGAAGTCCTGCATAGAGAGGCTCAGTGAAGGTGGTCTTGATTCTGTGCAGGAGGGTCATGGTTTCCTCTGAGACGCTGTAGAAGGACAGAATACCTGCACTTTGATCCAGGTAAACTCCAACTTTGGAGGACTGAGGACCTGAGACAGATGTTGTGATAGTGTTATGTTTGAAACCATAACACTTTTTGTAAAAACCTAATGCCCATGACTTTTCACTATCTCCAAATTGTTCATTTACAGTGTCATTGTCTTTGTATGCTACAGCCACTGCAACTCCTCCCACACCTTTCTCCACCTCCCAGTAACAACGTCCAGGCAGACTCTCTTCACTCAGGACCTGATGATATGCGGTGAACCTTTCTGTGTGACTAGGATAATTTTCTCCTGGCGTTGAAGTTACTTTTCGGTTCCTCTCAGATAACAAAAAACGTGTGTGTGCTGTGTTTGGATCCAGTGTGATTTGACGTGAGTATTTCAAGAATTCAGCTCTGGTCTGGGGCTGTGGTTGTGACAGCAATATGTCCACATCACTCACTGTCAGATAGACGTTTGTCCATTTATCTCTCAGAACATTTCGTAGTTTATCTCTGAATTTTGACAAAGCTGCTTTCACATCTTCAAAGTAGCTCAGAGGAAGAACGTTGATGCTGGATGATTCTGTAGATTCACTGAGGGCTGGCAGTGAGGGGTAGCTGTGCAGAAACTGGTTGTGATCCTCTGTGTGAGAGAGCAGCTTCAGCTCAGCGTCTCTCCTCTTCAGCTCAGCCATCTCCTGCTCCAGCTTCTCCTGAAGCTCTTTGACTCGACTCACTTCTCTCTTCTGCTGGGATCTGACCTGCTGCTTCACATCAGAGCTTCTTTTCTCCATGAGACGGATCAGCTCAGTGAAGATCTTCTCACTGTCCTCCACTGCTTTATCAGCAGAGCCATTGACGGCCTCCACCTCCTGCTGAAGCAGCTTCACCTCCTTCTCTCTGTCCTGGATTCTCTGCTGGATGTTTTCTCGACTCCCCTCCAGCTCTCTCTGCCTCTCAGTCCTCTCTGCTGCAGCTGACACTGTGTCGTGGCCTTTGTGTTCGTCCACAGAGCAGAGATAACAGATACACTGCTGATCAGTGCGGCAGAACAGCTTCATCACCTCGTCGTGATGAGAACAGATGTTCTCCTGGAGCTTCTTGGAGGGCTCCACTAGCTTGTGTTTTCCAAAGGCAGGCGATTCATAATGAGGCTGGAGGTGATTCTCACAATAAGAGATCAAACACTGCAGACAGGACTTACAGGCTCTCAGTTTCCTCCCAGTGCAGACATCACAGGCCACATCTTCAGCTCCAGCATAGCAGTGATCAGCAGGAGCAGCTTGGAGTCCAGTCTTCTTCTGTTTCTCCACTAAATCTGCTAACATGATGCTTTTCAGCAGGACAGGCCTCGGTGTGAAGCTCTGCCTACACTGAGGGCAGCTGTAGACTTCCTCCTCATCCTCTTCATCCCAGTGGGTTTGAATACAATTCAAGCAGAAACTGTGTCCACAGGGAATAGTCGCAGGATCCTTAAGTACATCCAGATATATCGAACAGCAGATTGCGTCCTGGTCCAGCTGAGCTCCTTTCTGCGCCATTATGCCTCCCTTACAGCGAGTGACAGTCTGCAGTTATATAGCCTGCCAGCTCACTCACTTTAGAACAGTTATGATTCACCTAAATTGAAACTTAAGTTCAGTGAAGGGGAGGGAACAAGTGATTATCTGTGAGATCTGCAGAAAGTAGGACAGGCTTACACGCTTAACTTCATTCCAGAAAGAGGAGCGGCCTTATAATATACAGGGTTCAAGGATTCAAGATTTCAAGGCTTTTATTGTCATTCGTACATAGCAACAGTGTAGTTATGTCGATGGAAATCTTAGGTCACAGGCTCCTCCAACAGTGCAACACAATAAAACAGATAACACAGTGTGTGTTTAGTACTCTTTATTCCCGTAATTAAGCACATTGTGACAACAGGACTTTGAGCTGACTGAATGATCTTTTAAATGACGATACCGCTGCCAAATAAATGAAGTGGAACACAAGGGACAATATTTCCCTTTGTGATGTAGTGGAGTATAAGTATAGGATAGTATAATACAAAATACTTTAAAGTAAAGTAACCAAGAACTGTAGAGTAAATGTTCTTAGTCACTTTTGAACTCATATGTAATGTGCTGTAAAATTAAAGTTTATTTATTTTTAAATATAATTTGTATTGAATACATTTGTATTTCTGATAGTAAAAGCCAGAATGAAATGAAGATTACTCCAATCAAAAGGAGCTTTGTATTTAAATGACCTGCTTCCTTGAAAAATTAGGGACAAATAAAGTGAACACATTTAAAGATAAACCTAGATTGAGGCTGCAGCCAATTGGTGACTTCTTAAATACTGACAAAAAGAAGATCCTTAATGCCTGCATCATTTTACAGTAAATATCATATCACACTTCCTTCATGCTGCCACTTGGAGCCACCAGTGCTCCATGTTTCCTGTAATGCAACTTCAAGTGACTTTACTCAGCCAAACAAAAACCTGCATTGGTTGTAAGCAAGCAATCGTTTGTATGTTTAAAGAGCTATTTTATTATGTTAAGGTGGAAATAAACTAAGTGCATTTACTCACATTCTGTATTCAAGCAGAATTGATATATTATAGACAGGAGGCGTGTACCTGCATTTCATTTGTTTTTATCTTTCTTGAACTAGTAAAGGGAAAAGAGACTGCAATACTTTTTTTGTTTTTTACCTTATAATAAATGTCCAGAGGATCTTTCGAGGGGGGGGAGGGCGGAAGTCATTTCTAAATAAAAGCCCTGGTCTGGTAAAAGTGGGGATGCCTTTTTTAAGTGTTTTTAACTTATCGTTAGAAATAACAAGAGAGAGCCGTAGAGACAATCTTTAATGTCCTCTCAGAGTCTATTTTGATAAGACTAGTTTTCCAATGTTCGGTTAATTTGGAAAAAATATTGATCCATAACTCACACAACACAAACAATGTCTCTTAACAACCATAGTTAGGTAGACGAGGAGGTTCAGCCTTAATTGCCTGCTGGTTGAATACTATATTCTGTAGTGCCGAGAGACGGGAGTCAGAGGCGGTGTGTCAAAAGACAAAGCTAGTCTTTTATTCAACATGGAACAGCATGTAAACAAACTCAAGCCCGAGGAAACTGACTGACCAGCAAACGGAAGATCCTCTAAACTAAAATGTCCGTGCGGAACAATACCCCCACCCGTAGTTCCGTGGGTGAATTATGTCAACCCACCACACAAGCCCCCCCAGAATTCACTCATGATCAAAATCATTGCGTCTGGGAGGTAGGACCACCCGACCCCGGCGAGTAAGGACAACTGGGGCCGAAGAGGGCGGGGCCGCAGGCGTGCCCTTGCCGTCGACAAGCTCCGAGGGCAAGGGCATCCACGAGGGCGAGGGCACCCTTACAGGGGGCGGGACAAGGGAGGACGGCCCCGACGTGGGGGCAGAGCCAACTCCAACAGCCTGGAAACGTCCACATGAGCAGGCTTACGGCCCGTCCACACAGCAGCATTAAAAAAATCTTCCAACGCTTCTGCCCATTCACTTTGAATGGGGTGACGTCACTTTGCCTCACTTTTCGCCGAACTGCATTGTGGGAAGCAGAGCGGAGATTTCCAGGCATCTCAGGATTCAAAAGTTGAGCAATGTTCAACTTTTGAAGCTGAGGTGGAAGCGTCAGCCAATCAAATCTCGTTTATGCAAATCTGACAGTACAAGCGCTAGCCAATCAAACCGCGTGTATGCTGGGAGTGACATACCGCAGGTCATTTCCTCATATTCCAAAAAATGGAGGAGAAATTAGCGGTAGGGAATCACCCGGTGCTTTATGACCAGACCCTAATTACCTACCGGGATACAAACCGGAGGAGCCAGGCATGGAGGGAGGTGGCAGAGACAGTGGTAGGTTTTCGCCTGTTTGGGGAGTTTATATCCAGTTTACTTCGGGCTTTTTTTTTTTTTTTGCTTCGTATGTCGGGGGCGGGAGATTCATGTGATTGGTTGTTGGTCGCGTTGCTCGCAAACAATCCCCAAGCTTCAGATACGCCCACCTCCAAGATTTTTTTAACGCTGCTGTGTGGACGCTCCGTAAATCCTATGGACACAGTCTCAGGTCTGCCACCAACGTCCACCACCAGGCCCTTGTCCCCGTGCCGTATGACCCTGAACGGGCCGTCGTAGGGGTCCGCGGTGGGCGTCGTGACGAAAGGAGACAAAATCCGCCGACCGTAGCCCGGGGGAAACCCGGAAAGCGAGGTTGCTGTGCTGCAATGTGGGGACAGGTGTGAATGTCCCGGCGGTCTCCAGCAGGGAGGAGCGCTGCCTAGCTGCAGACCAGGGCACAGTGGCGCACCTGAGGCCGAGCATAACCCACAGGAGCTTATCCACCCAGTTGCCGTCAGTCAAGCCGGCACGCAGGGTTGCCTTCAGGGAACGGTGGAAACGCTCACATAAGCCGTTAGCCTGGGGGTGATAGGCGGCGGTGCGGTGAAGCTTGACCCCCAAACCCTCGGCAACTGCGTTCCAGAGCTCCGAGGTAAACCGGGAGCCACGGTCAGAGGAGAGGTCAGATGGGGTCCGGAAGCGCGCCACCCACGTGCCGATTAATGCACTGGCCAAGTCAGAAGATGCGGTGAGGGGAACACCCCCTGGCCAGCGGGTCGTCCTGTCCACCATCGTGAAGAGGTAGGTGAAACCGTGAGAGGGGGGCAGTGGACATACAAGGTCAAAATTGACATGGTCAAACCTCCTCTCGGGAACCGCAATAAGTTAAAAAGGGGCTCTAGTATGGCGGTGCACTTGAGCCCGTTGACAGGCCATGCATGAGTCGACCCAGGTCTTCACGTCCTTCTTAAGCCCCTGCCACACAAACTAACGCCGTAAACTCACGGCCTTCCAGCAGGAACCGGAAGTGGCGATTCGCCAACCAGAGGCCATGGAGTCCCCTGCCGAACGCGCTGTATTTGCGCCCCCTGGGGGTTAACTGTTTGGTAAGTGACTGTCAAAAAGCTTATTTCCCAATGTGGGATGTATAAAGTATCTATATATCCATCTTTATTTTGAAAAGTATAACCGGAAGTCTTCCTTCACTGCACGGCTAACGTCCAAGCTAACGGCTAACCCGCAGAGAAAACTTTCATTATGGATAAAACGGCAACAACAACAATATTGACTCATCGCTTCACTCACCTGTCTCTCCGGAGCGACCACACGGTTCTTTAAACCTTCATTTCCGAGTTAAACCATAAACTCTGGAAGGACATTCAAAAGCTGACAAAAACACATTCATGTCAAATAAAAACTCACCTACAAAACATCGAGTTAGACAGAAATCACCGGAAGCACTTCAAATAAAAGCACGACGGGTCTGATTTAAAGGACACTGAACGTTATCTCTTTTTTATTTAGGCACAGTGGTGTAAAGTAACTAAGTACATTTACTCAAGTACTGTACTTAAGTACAATTTTGAGATACTTGTACATGTTATGCTACTCTGTACTTCTACTCCACTACAGTTCAAAGGTAGATGGTGTACTTTTACTCCACTACATGTATTTAATACCTTTAGTTACTCTACAGATGTGGATGAATGATGTGAAATATAACCAAGTGTTAAATCAGACTTTAGTTCCACCTGGAGTAAATTCACAAGCTACCCTGCAGTATACAAAGTCATTCAAACTAGCTGCACCTTTACCAGCTTTGAGAACACTTTCATGATCAATCATTATAAAACATATCATATATATTATTCTGAAATGGACCAATCTGCACAATGACTACTTTTACTGTCGCTACTTTAACTATATTTTGATGATAATACTTTTCTACTTTTACTTGAGTAACATTTTGAATGCAGAACTTTTACTGTAACAGAGTATTCCTACACTCTGGTACTTCTACTTTTACTCAAGTACAAGATCTGAGTACTTCTACATTACTTTTACGCAAATACAAGATCTGAGTACTTCTACTTTTACTCAAGTACAAGATCTGATACGACCCCCGGTTTGATGATTGACAGGTCACAGAACAATGGGAGCTATCTACCCTTACCCACAATTTAAAGTAATTCACACAGACTCTCTCTTCTTTACTCTTCTCTCTGTGAGGAGCAGCAAGTTCAGCTGTCAGAACAAAGTGAAAAACAAACAATGGCATAAAATATTATTAATATGTCGGGTTGTAATACATTTATTTATTTTCTTCTCAGAGTGTACCAGAATGCATAGTTTATGTTAGTATTTCTAAAAATCTCAATTTTTTTGTTTTTTTTAATCCCAAATAGTGTTTTTGATGACCAAAATAAATGATGAATTTAAATCGACATTTCACTGAAACCTTGACTGAAGCAGCAGGGGAGTACATGATGGTTAAACGTCTCATGATGCTTTGCTGTGGGTCTTGATACAAGTGATTTTGTTTTTCGTCCTTTAAAGTACATACACATACATCTAGATACTTTTGTTCTACTTGCTTTCATTTAGTTTTATGGTTTTAGCAATATTTCTGGTCATGTGGTTTCAAAGGATTCAGTTTAAGATAATGTTTTGTTATAATCTGGCCTATATTTAAGGTCATTAAGCCACATGGAGAGGGAGATTTACTTTTCAGAAGTTTTTTCTTGACATGTTATCCTGTTAACAACAACAGCCTAATCACCATTGCACACACTTTAAAAAGACAAGCTTCTGAAACATTAATGCAAATGTAGCAGGTTGGAAATGCTATATGTTAAGTTTGACTTAAACAGACACCCCCCCCCTATTTTTTGTTAATAATATAATCTTTCCAACACACTTCGAACTCCTAACATTTAGACAATAATACTGTAGTGTCAGTAGATGGCGCTCTGGCGCTGCTGTGGATCCATTAGGAGACTATATGCCAGGAGCTCAGATCTTGCGCATGTCAGAAATAAACAAGCTGTGACCTGAGGAGGACATTAACTTTGGTCCTCTCTCTACCAATCCACATACACTGTTTATATGTTGGCTACACAGTGCTCCCTAGCCTGTGTAACCCTTGCTGCTGGTCCAGATTACCCCTAGGTCTGGTGCCAGTAACGCAAACTGAGAAACTAACATTAAGGCGTGCCAGATCAGCCACTTTGTGAACAGTGTTTCAGTGCAACATTATTTGTGTGTGATGCCTGGTATTGTTCTTTCTCTCTCTGATTCAACTTTTATATTTAACGTTTACAGTTGTTATTTTAAAGAACATTCAACACTGGAGTAAGTTGAGTAAGGAGGTCACATTTCGTGCTTCAAAGAGATATTAGTATGTTTATAGGGTGGCTTTGCTGCTTCAGAAAACAGAAATAAACAAACATAACGAATAAGAATGGTGGTAAACTTTGGGACCAATCAGTAAGTACAGTAGCACGTTGGTGACATGAAAAAGCATGATTTCATTACTACTCATTATACATTTAAAAAGCCGCACCCTAGTACTGAACCTGTTTGGCAGGAAGAGCAAATGGAAAATCATTTGATTATCTAACAATAGATCCTTTAACAAGAACATGAACAACACAAGTGAATTTTATTGGTTTATTGGAGTGTATACCACATCAAATACATATATGCAGTAAGAATTTTGTGTGGGAAAAAATAGTAAATAACAAGGAACCAGATAAGATTTCTCTCTAGATTTCATATATGAATGAAAAAACACCAAAAAACATTAATTTGCAGTGAGTTTTATACTTTAAAATAAGAGAAAAAATATCAAAATCATTATTTGAGAAGCCTAGTCTTCATCCAAATCACCCTCAGCAATGCTGTGATCAATGTTGAGGATTTAATTAATTCATTGAAATGCCAGCCTAAATGTATCAAACAATGCTAAACAGAAAATACATATATGAAAAAGACAAAGCAACTGTTGAAATATTAAAAGCAAAATGTCTGTGACATCACAGCAGTGGCTGAGATCCAATATCTATTCTCCGATACATGGGCATAGTGAGGACTTATTCACTGGGATCTCATTCAAAACATAACAGAATATAGCATAGCAACTCATAGTTTGCCATTATGGTCAAAATGTGCCCAGAGGTCTCCTCCTCTCCAAAACAAAGCGACCCAGAGAGTAAAGCTGGTTCAGCACTGAATAAAGCAGTTTACTTTGAAAGTAAGTGTTTCCTTGATGGATACAAGCCAGAGAGGCTACAAGCTAATGCAAAGTTAGCTTCTCTGCAAACAGTTCTGGAGGTTTAGCGTTTCATAGTTGATCTGTAAGTCTTCTTACATTGCCAAACATTGGTACAAACCAAGGTGTTAACCTCTGATTGTCGTCCTAGAATCGGACATAAATCAGCCAAGAACTCATGTTGCCTGAGCTAGGGTAAAAGCCTGTTGGTTAAAAGTGTGCTGAAAACTGCATTAAAAACTACATTTATGAATGCTTCTAGCAGACAACTAAAATGCTGATGCGCACAAAAGCAAGGGTGGGGTGGATGTGGGGGTCGCTATTGACATGGAGATATATCTTAATAGACTGAACAACATAAGGTTATCATCAAACTGCTTTTTTTTAAATAGGATTTTTAAATGACATGAATTAGGGCACCACATTATGCTAACAATAAAAAACACTCAAAGTCAACAGAGATAAGAACTTTAAAAAAATGATTGAGACCCAATCCAGAGGCCTCATGTCTTTTATCCTCGGTATGTTAACAGGCATCTGCTGTTAGTCTCCACGGATCAACCCTGAAACGTCCACCAGAGAGAGAAAGAGCGATGTTGTGAAATTGAATATTAATAACAAATACTTATTAACAGTTTTCACTAAACCTACCTGTGCACATCATGGACGCACTGCAGCTGCTTGACCAGGTGAATCTCTACTGTAATAAAAGCACTGTTAGTATGTTCAGAAAATAAATCATAATCCAGACAATATCTATATTTTATATTGTGTATAAATGGAGTTTTACCGAAGAGTTGCATCATCATCTGGGTTTACGGTTTTTCTTTTCAGTTCCTTGTAGTAGTTATTTACCTTCCCAAGCTCCTCACTTACATCTGAAAAAAAAACATGTTGTTTCAAACAAGTGGATTCATTTAATTTCACACGATGGAAATGTTAGTATCAACTTTTTAATTACGATCAAATGTAAAGTACTTTTTGTGATTTTGTTTCCTTTACCTGGGAGGGACTGGGAGACACCATATGTCTTGAGTGACAGCACGATTGATTCCTTCATAGTGCTCTCCAGTTTCTCCGGGATCTCCAACTAAATCAGCATTGAAATATTTATCATTGACATTTTTGGACATGTATGTTTGTGTTGCAGTGTTCCTAGTTGAATTTCTCTTGAATTAATACAAATCCATTATGTAAATGTTGACCAAAAGTCATGGATAAACATCGATATGTGCAGCCCAACATGTTTAAGTGAAGAATTATTTCTGTATGACGAAATATAAAATGTGACAAACCATCAAGTATCTCAGCTGTGTCATCATGGCGTCTTTAGCCTGAGCAAACATGACGTCCTTTGAACGACATACGTGCTTTTCAATAGTTTCCCTCATTTTGTTCATCGAGCCTTCTCCTTTAAATATTTTTGCTTCTACATAAAACAGAAACATGTTGACATAAAAATGTTGCACCACAAAAATGTGTAGAAGTGTATTTATATGTCTGTAATGATCTTCTGTCTTACTGTCATAGCATGGTTGCATGATCTCCTCGATTGTTGTTGTCAGGCTGCTGTAGATCGTTTTCTTTCTATCACGGATGATTTTGTTGAGATTTGTTTTCATCTTTTCTTCCTTAGAGAGAATGTGAAGCAAATATCAACATATTTTAAAATGAATGAGTTACAAACAAGGCTCATCTTTCCCTTTTTTATTTTTTCTAGATTTTACGTGGAAAAGCAGAACATTATTCAAACTGATAGGACGTGTTCACCAGCTGGGGGTGCACTTTGCCCAATATCAGAATATTCTTTTGTAATCTTGAGTGTGTCTTCATGAATTGGGGCAGGGTCAGATTTACAGCTGCAGTTAATTTTTCAAAGCCATCTCCAGTTCATACTGAGCTATTCCAGTACAATATATATGAATATGTTGACTGATCAAAATGTATTATATTTAATAATATCTCTCACCCTTCCACTACAGTCTCCCTGGCTTTACAAACATATTTGATAATGGACTAATGAATAGGATCTTTTACCACTGTCCTGAGAAATGTCAGCATGCATTTGACATTTCCGTACTTCTTATTCTTCAGCTTCTTCTCTGTGCCAAGTGAAAACGCATTGATGACCCCTTTGAATGGTCCACTGTTTCCTTCATTTCTAAAACATATTAACAAGAGGAAATGCTTAAATTCATAAACAAGTTTGTATTTCAATAATGTATTTAAATGTACTATAAAACACAATTTATCCAACACAGGGTTTTATGTGTTTATTAAGTCATTTCTTACGGGAAGGTCTTCTTAAATTCCTCGTCAATGCTGTCAGTCAAATATGAAGTTAATTTCATATTGATGTTTATTAATTCCCCATTTTTTGGTTTGTGGATGCCACCCTTCTCAACTACACACTTCAGTGTCCTGTGAAATGCACTGCCACTGTCTTCCTGAAACAAAACAGAATTTTGTAAGAGACATATTCATATTAAGAGCAATCAGTTGTTTTGATTTAATTATAACTTAAATACTTACAGGATAAAGGACCGACTTTAAGACTTCATCACATGAACTTTTAGATTTTTCAACCCCCTCACTGAGGCATTTTTCAAAAGCCTTACGGGTCGCATTCATGGTTTCCCTGACTTCATGAAGTTCACAAATCAGCTCTTTTTCAAGTCCTTTGCACACATTTTTCTTTATGTCAGCCTGAAACCATACACAACACATTCATTATTTAAAGCATTTCAACCATAATTCAATATGGGATTTTTTTTTCAAGCCCTGACAACAACAAATCAAATCAAATCAAAGTTTATTTATTAAGCACATTTAAAAGCGATTTTTGGTCGGCCAAAGTGCTGTACATGTAATAAATACTACAATCACATAAAAACACATTACTACAATCACAATAAAAGACAATAAATTACAACAGATATATAAAAAATAAACTATAACTATAAAAAGTCAGGAGTCGTGCTCCGCTCTGACTAAAAGGCCAGGGAGAAGAAGTGTGTTTTAAAAGTAGATTTAAAACCCCCTAGGGTCTGGGCCGACCTCACATGGAGGGGCAGAGTGTTCCAGAGCCTCGGGCCAGCTGCTGCGAAGGCTCGGTGCCCTCGGGTTTTGAGCCTGGTCTTGGGCACTACCAGCAGCAGCTGGTCAGCAGACCTTAAAGCTCTGGCTGGGGTGTAGCGCTGGAGGAGTTCAGCTATATAGGCCGGAGCCAGCCCATTTAGTGCTTTAAAAACAAATAAAAGGATTTAAAATCAATTCGGAACCGAATTGGAAGCCAGTGCAGTGAGGCCAGAATTGGGGTGATGTGGTCACGCTTTTTGTGGCCAGTGAGTAGACGTGCAGCTGCGTTCTGCACTAGCTGCAGGCGTTTAATTGACGCCTGGTCCATACCCACATACAGAGCGTTGCAGTAGTCCAACCTCGAGGTAACAAAGGCATTAATAACCCTTTCTAAGTCTTTAAAAGATAAATATGACTTGGTTTTGGCCAATAGTCGTATTTGAAAAAAGCAGGATTTGACTACGCTGCTGACGTGCTTATCGAATTTAAAAGCGCTATTGAAGGTCACTCCAAGGTTCATGACAGAGGGGAGGATGTTTTCATTGAGGGAGCCCAGAATATCAACCTGGGAGGCTGGAGGTTGGGGTCCAAAAAAGATAACCTCAGTCTTGCTCTCGTTGAGGTTGAGGAAATGTTGGCTCAGCCAGGATTTGATCTCTGCTAAGCAGTCCATCAATAGCTGTAATGAGTTTACATTTGAATTGAGTGGCAGATAGATCTGTACATCGTCGGCGTAGCAGTGGAAGGGGATGTTGTGTTTTGTGAGAATTGAACCTAGGGGCAGTATGTACAGTAGAAAAAGGATGGGGCCCAAAATCGAGCCTTGGGGAACCCCACAGGTAAGAGGGGCTTTGGCAGAGGAGAAGGCACCTAGCTGCACTGAGAAGCTACGGTCTGTCAGGTAGGACCTGAACCATGCAAGGGCAGAGCCTGTGATGCCAGCGGACTGTTCAAGCCGTGACAGCAGGATGCTATGGTCCACAGTGTCGAAGGCAGCTGTCAGGTCTAACAGCACCAAGACAGCACGGCTACCTGAGTCGGCGGCTAGGAGCAGATCATTAAAAACTCTTAAAAGGGCTGTTTCAGTGCTGTGCATGGGTTTGAAGCCAGACTGAAACTTTTCATGGATGCCATGCATGGTTAAAAAAGACTGCAGCTGGGCGTAGACTACTCGCTCCAGGGCTTTAGATTAAAAAAAACTTTAATTACTGTAGCAATGCATCCTCTCTGAAGCAACACAAACTCAGCAAATCCAATACCTTGTTGGCTGTACAGGTTACATTACATGTAAGCAGTCTGTCTTTTACTTTACAATTTGTACACAACATTTTAGTGTATGCAGCTTACTTATTTTCTATGAATGTTATTATTTTCTGTCAATATTAAAGACAATGAAATATGTTGTTACTTGATCTTACCCCTTCTCTGCTGCTGACTCCCTGAATCAGAAAGAGAATCCCGCGAGCTCCAGACACATAGTTTAATGTCTCAGAGTGACTGTCATTGAGAGCTTGCAGGATTTTCTGCAGTTCGGGAATTTCTGTAAAAAATGTAATATAAATATATTACATTCTTGAATTTGCATGTTATACTCAATTAGTATCTCCATATATTTATTGGAGGAGATAAAACCATTTTGTAATCCGGGCTCGCTTGGAGACTTGAATCACCTGTTTCATCTGGATCCAGACGTTTCTTTCTCAAGAACTCTTTGGAGCTCACTGTGAAAACCTTGAAATCTTCATCACTGAATTGTTTCTGAAAAAAAAAGGTTTCCATTTAAAAGCAGGTCTGCACAACATTTGTGTTGGATTATCATGAAATATTACTCACCTTAACGTATTTTAGTTTGTTGAATTCTGCCCTCACGTCAATCTTGGCTTGCTTGTTTTGTTTCAGTATCTGAGCATGGACACCAGCTGCTGAACTATATGAAAAGATTTGTTTTTGAAGAATTACATAAACTGCATATACAATCCAGGATATCATATCACTACGCATCTCGATTTTGCTTTCAATAACCAGTGATCACATGGAGTAGCTTAATCCAGCATCACAAAGTGTTTGGGAAGCAACAACATTAGGACAGAAATAAATGGCTGAGATGTTGAGGAATCAAGACACACATGCAGACAATTGAGAAACATACTGTTATGATCATAAATAACCTGGTTTATCATGTTTCAAGTGAACATTATATCCCTGAATACGATCAAAACCAGGATACTAATGTGCCTGTTAACGTAATCAATGTTTCCATGGTTTCTCCTCTTGGCCATCTCCATCTCAAGCGTCAGTGTCTAAATTGAATGTTACATTTAACTGTGTACTTTTGGCATCTTAAGCCACTTACTGATCATCTGAATCTTCACAATGATCAGACTTGGTGCAGATAAAATGAATCTGCCAACACTCGCCACCATTTCCCATGAGGCTGCAGGATTCTTTCAGGATCTCCCAGGGTTCTTTTTCTGAAGCTGCTCGATTTATATCAGTCACAATCCAGACAGTAGAACAACTTCCAATAACCTGGAGGGGAATACAGAAAATAATAATGGTTACATTGTCAGTGTAACCTTCCACAATAATCAGCATTGCATGTGGAGAAATCACCTTTTTCCACATCGTGTCTCTGCTCTTGTTACGGTCCCCGTTTCCAGGAAGATCCACAAGTGTGACGTGCTGGAGAAAAGGATTGTTCGGCACCCTGACGGTCACACACTTCACCAGTGGCCGATACCACTTAGCATCTTCCTCTTTTGACTTACTTTGTGTGTATTTGACCAATTCACTAGATAAGTCTTCAGCCTAAAATAAATAATAGAGGCAATGCAAGGCCATTTATTTTACATGAACAAACTTTAACTTGAAATTGCTTTAAATGATTGTGTTAAAGGGCCCATGTCATGCTTTTCCGGTTATTACCCGTCCTCTTGTGTGTTATGAAGGTTTTTATGCATGTAAACGGTGTGCAGAGTCACAAACCCTCAAAGTACAGCCTGTAGGGAGTAAAACTCTACCTCCCAAAAACGCCTCGTTGGAGATTTCTCATTTTCTTTTACATTACATGTCACTTGTTAGACGCTCTTATCCAAAGCGACTTACATACTCAATACTGTGGGCAATCCCCACAGGAGCAATTTGGGGTGAAGTGTCTCAGGGACACATCGACATGCTGACTGCAGTGGGGTTTGAACCTGTGCTCCCCTGATCGCCCTGATCCGATCACCAACGCACTAACCCACTGCGCCACACGCCTCCTCCTTCTTCCTGGGTACTCTGACTTGGGGATAGCCGGAGGCCACACCCTCTGCCAGCCTTTCACGAAACAAAGCTTCCCAAACCTTTCAGCGATTCATGCCGGATATGTACAGCGTAGGGCACTGAAGAACGATGCTGTTCCTGCTTTGTTTGGACCAGAGGGAGATTCGGGTACACAACCTGTAAGTATTCATTGTTGTTTGTGTATTTATGATTTTTAAAACAAACAAGGTATCTACCACGACTGTTTAAATGGGTAAACGTTTTTCGGGCTACTACGTTGGGATCGCGGAGAAATGCTCTCCGCAGACCCATTCTCACAGCGTTATAAACCTTTTTCTTACTCAATATCAAGCCACACTTATTGTTTTTACTTCGGCTGTGAGTGTTTGCTCAGGATGAGTTTCGCTTGTTCTCGCTGTATCGCCGACACGGAAGCCTGTCTGCTCCTCGCAGCAGCTCGCAGCAGCTGCGAGCAGCAACGAGCCTCTCAACGTCGCGACCAATCAGAGCACTGGGCTCACAGGGAGGGGGGGCAGGAGCTCCAACAAGTCGTTTAGGACAGCGAGTGAATACCGGTGAATACACATACTTTACAGAGATGCTGTATGAGAAACCAATGGAAAATTGCATAGTATAAATCTATTTTAGTATACCTCAACAATGGAATTATGATCAGTAGAAATGGCCATGACATGGGTCCTTTAAATAATTATTATAGCATAACATTAAAAGTCCATTTTAAACCCTATCACTGAACAACAACATCTGAATTAAATCAAAAAGTAGCAAACCTTACATTTATATTTTAGTAATGGGGAACAATTAGGTTTAACATTTTTAATATGATTTCAAAATGAAAGCTGGTAGTGCCTTAAAATATGTAGGTTGTTGCAAGCAAGTTAGTTACTGGTAATCATTTTCTTTCCTATGATGCATAAAGAAGACATGGTTTTGTAGTTATTGTTATTAGAGCCCAGATAGATCAAGCCCATATTTCTGAGTACATACCGAATTTACGTATGCATTTGGTGTCTATCGTGAAACTACACCAAACAAGAGTCTGTTTTATGAAATGATATAAGTTTTAGTCTTACTTACTGTATCCCTTGTCAAAATCTTACTCTTGGAACTGAGAAATTCAGGAATTTCTCTGAAGTATTTTTTATCCATGAGGTTTTCAGGAGTTTTGTTTTTCCATTCTTCTCCATACAGCAGTGACAGCGTTTCAACACTGTCTTGATCATCGTCGTAGTTTTCCTGATCTTTGTTATCACGAGCGAAATTAATCAAGGTCCGCAACTCCTCTTTCCACTCCTAAAAAAATATATGTTTTATTATATGGCAGATTGTTTAGTCAGCATATATATTTATTTGCAGCTTCATCATAAAAGTTGAAATAGCTCTAAGTTAACAAACATATTTAGCTTATTTTACCTCTTTTGTAATGAACTCAATTTCTGCCTCGTACTTTGGGTTCTTCATGTTAGCCTCCACTTTAATCATCACTGAGGTACATGCACTGATGCTTCCAGAGGGCAACAGATCCTTCACTCCAATGACGGCATTTATCAGAGAGCTCTTTCCAGCCCCCGTTTTACCAAAGACGCCGACCAGCTCCCTCTTGTCTGTCTCCAAAGTGTTGATGTTCTTTCTTTCTCTTTCCCTAAAAGAGTGTGTCAAATTCAAGAAGAAATCTGCATGTACGAACATCCTACTTAAGCATAATACTATCTTCAGACTCATTTTTGGATTAAAAAAAATGTGGACTTTTACAAATCTCAACAGTGTCCTCAGTGCTGTATCATTTCGACAGGTCTCTTTAAACTCTTTCCCCTTGCTTGAAAAGACTAATACTTACTTCAGAAACGTGTTGAACTTGTCGTATTTGTTAGGTAGTTTATCAAGGACACGACTCATGATGTTTTTCACATCAGACAGAATCTCTTCTTCTGTAAGAGTAAAAGTAAAGAACTATTCAGCAGGAACCAATAACCAGTATATCCATTAAGATGTATTCCCAATGAAGCAATCAAGAATACCTGAGAGTATCATTTTCATCATGTTTATACTATGGCAGGTATCTTACAGTTTAAGGTCATTATAATTGAATAAGACCTGTGTTGCTACATATATGTAAGTTCATTAGCTGAACGATAAAACATTTAACAAATGATACATATTAACCCTAGTTTCTAATAGTTTGGAATGTAATATAAATACCTTTGTTTGATCCTTGTATATCCTTACGTGGTCGTTTTCTGGCTGGTGATTGGCTGGACTCACCCGGAAGACCCAACTTCCTCTTTCCTGGTTTTTTATTTTTGTTGTAAATAACATATATATTATTTTTTTATTACATTTTTTTTTTTTTTAGATAAAGCAGGTTTATTATTGTTTATGAAATATCAATAAAACTCCATATAAGAAACTTTGTATCTCACCTTTATCATTTGTTTTGCTGGTGGACGGATAAACCTGAGGATGAACATGAACATTTGACTCTTTGTCCTCTCACAGGATGTGACAGGCTTGAACACACATCTTCACAATTCGCACACACCTACATTTGCATTTCATTTCCCATTCAAAACTCTATGCAAAATAATATATCCTTCAAAAATGGCTATCAAGTGATCACATTCAGCATTCTTTTAACTGAATGAACAACACTATGAACAAATGAAACAGTTCACAGTTCTTCAGTTAAAGGGGACTTTGTCTCAGGACGCTTCAAATATCAATGCATGAAGGATTGAGTCAAGGTCAATGATAACAAGCATGGTCAATTTAAAGTAATCATTACCTGAGCAGAAACAGCTTCCTCCCATTTACATTGAGAATAAAAGAAATACTCTTGGTGGCCATATCAAATGTTGAACAGACAATGACAATATAAAAAGTGAATTAAACTGCATTCAACTAACTTCAACAGAAGAATCAGATGTTTCCGGATCTTTTGTGCTTTGTTCCTCCTAGTTAGAAAAGAAAATAGTCTCAAATCCAGAATAGCAAGAAAAACTTATATAAAATGATAGTAAAGTCAACAAGATATATTATACTCCTTTGTAGATGATGTACATTTCTTGAGATTAATGAGACCAAATACAGTACAGTATCTGTGTAAAAATGCAGACATTACCTTTAACAACTTGAGTCTCTTTCTGAATTTTGACCGTGGTCCCACTTTTGGGATCAAGTCAGCAATGTCTCGATCTTCCAGACAGTAAAGACTTTCCTTGTCAACTTCGTGATCTGAAAAAAATATAATAATTAAGAAATGTCAACCAATTGCAAATATCTGTAGATGTGTATTTTGCATGGGGTGAAATGTGAGTTCAGCTGTTGAACATATGTTTTAAAGAGCATTACAGCTTCATAAGGTTGTCTGAACTGAATTCATATTGGTAATATTTTGTTATTTGTTATTTTCAGTCTTGATTTAAGTGCTGCTGAAAAGATGCTACAGAAAATGAGTTACTCTGAAGTTAATATTTAATAGTTTCCTCTCTGTGTGAAGATGTGCAATCTTTATGATTTTTTGAGTATGTCAAGGATATGTCAGAAAGTTACTGGGTAACGATGTTGAGGCAGTTTATGTGTCTTCAAGTAGATGCTTAGATATTTCAGTATTGGAAGGTCATATCGACTTTGTATAATATTTTTGCCCAACAAAAAGCATGGGAATACTTTACCTTCACACGTTTGTGTCAATTCGCTGAGACTCCATTTACTTAATTTTTTGCCAACAAAATCATCCATGATTAAGAATAGCAACTGGAAAGTAAACAAATAATTGTTTTAATCAACAAAATAACTACTTGTGAGAGTTTTGATATGTTAATAGAAAAAGAAAGGGTTATTAAAGTGATAATGGCAGCCTAATTAAAATGTTTATATGAAGCATGCAGGACATATTTGTGTGATCACAAGATAAGCACAAATAACTGAGTAGTACTGCTAGCTGTTTACTTACCTGCTATTTTCACTTCATCCACAGTAAGATGGGGCTTTCAAGTTTTCCAGTGGAATGGAATCTATTAAACATAAACATTTTTATTCTGAACAAAAGCACAATTATTGTCTACTATCCAACAGTTTACACAAGTACAGCTGACATTAACATTTGAATCATGAACTACTCTATGCCAGAGCATTTATTGGCAATTTGCTTTTCTGATAATTGTTTGGTTAAATGTTCAAGTAAAAATCTTCCAGGTAGTTCCAGATTCTCAGATGTTAGCTTTCCTGTTTTTTTTCAGAGTGTTTGCTGTCCAAACAAAGTGATTATAACCAGGGGTGCACATAACTGGTACGCTGCGTACGCAGGTACGCATGCGCGGCAACAATCTGAAATGCGTACCGTGTGTCACAAAGCGCATTTGCGTACCGACGTACTTGTGAAGCTTTTCCAGAAGGCGGTTAGATCACCGGACGACAGAGTCGGTCTCCGTTAGCACAGACAGGGCTGCTGTTAACGTCGGTCTGTACAGCAGCCCTGCGCTGCGCTAAAACAGCTGATCACAACGTGCACACGCTCCGCGGTCACGAAGCTCTGTACTCCACTACCACCCCCCCCCCCGTTGACAATCGCCAGAAGTTGGAGTACTCCAGGTACATCATCTGAGTACCTCACTGAGAAAGTTGTGTGCACCCCTGATTATAACCATCTTGAAGGCTACCAAACTTGATTCCACCCAAATAAAACAGTAACATTAATAATACTAATCTAATGATATAATATAATGGTATAAGATATTCAAATTCAGGGCCAAATGCCATCGGAAATGCTCAATGCGGTTGTTTTTCCCGAGAAATATGCTACCCTCTGGGATACTTTTCTGCTAAATCACACTTTTATGTTCGGTTGTGTAACATGACTTTAAGTTTGTAGTTTCTTGTTTGTTTTCTGTGTTCCAATTAGTATTTATTTAAGGCAGAAACACATAACAACATGGTACAAAACACATACATACCACGTGAAAGAACATACAGCTCCCTTACAAAACAAACAAAAACACGAACGTTGGTTTTTAAACTCATTTAATGTTACTGTGTTTTTCAAGAGCCTGGGACAAAGGTAGCAACCAAACAAGAAGTCCTAACACATTAACATACAACATATTACAATTCATTTCATATAGAACATGATTTACAAAATTAACAATGAAACAAAAGAATATGAATCGTTCCAAAGCTTACCCGTAGCGTACAGCCTGTTGATGTGAAGCCAAAAGCAGATTAAAGGAGTCTCTCGCTTAGTATCCCAATAACTGCCCAACCCTACCTGGAAAACGCAACTTAAAGTATTTTTGTTTCCGCTGATAGGTGCAGAACGTTACTCCTCCCACACTAAATTAATCATGCGTTATTTTAACGCAATTTGAACTGCATTTGTGTTTGAAATGTAAACCCTTATCCTATTCCCTTTTAAAGTTGTCCTTTTCTCTAATCATGTGGGTATTTTTATGTCAAGTGTTTGTATAATTCTTACCTTTTAAGGTAGAATCAAGAAGTTTAGAATGTGAAACAACTCACACAATTCTGAAACATGACATGGGGTCTCTATAAGGGTGGTACACTTTGGGACCAATCAGTAAGTAGCACGTTGGTGACATTAAAAAGCATACTGACTCCACTCATCATAAATTAAAAAAGCCGCACCCTGAACCTGTTTGTCAGGAAGACCAAAGGGGAAATAATTTGATTATCTAACAATAGAAATGTATGTTATTCAAAACCTAGCGCAGATAGATCCTTTAACAAGAACATGAACAATACAAGTTCATTGTATTGGTTTTTTGGAGTGTTTACCACATCAAATACATGTATGCAATAAGAATAAGTGTGGAGAAAAAAAGTAAATAACAAGAAACCAGATAAGCCATCACCTAGATCTCTCTATTTCTCATATATGAATGAGAAAAAAAGACACACCATTTTTAGTTTTTTTAATCCCAAATAGTGTTTTTTGATGACCAGTGGAGAGCCGTCATTTTTTTTAAAATATTTTTTTATAGTTATATTTTTTTAGTTATATTTTTCATTAGTTTTACCAAAATAACTTGATTTAATTGTATTTAAAATAACATTTCCAAAGAAATAAATCCTTCGAATCTGCCTGTTCAGTTTCTGTTGGAATGTGAAGGGTTAAATGCTGTCTCTGCGAGTTATGTGAAGACGGGAGAGCTTGTTGGTCCCTCTGTACATTCACAGAGGGCCAGCTATAGTAACTCAATGAGAGAGTAATGTCAAATGACAGTACAATTGACCAATCATATCTTCCCTCTAAATGGGTGGGCTTTATTTTCGCGGACTTTATGACAAGAAGTCATAAAGTGAAGTTTATGCATGTGTGTTATAGTGGTGCAGTAACGCGTCCGAAAACCCGGAAGTAAGCTGCGCATGGGTTCCCTCGACAAAAAAGCAATGGGATTTCATTTCTCCATAGGGTTTTGGAAAATAGCTGGAAATAAGGTCTGTGGAAAACGAACCTGTTAGATCAATGCACGTTTTGTTCAGCCGGATAATATCCACATGTCTACCCTACTTTTATAATTTTCTAATCATAAATCTAATCGATAGATTTATGATCGATAGATTTATGATTAGCATAAGTTCGTTCATGATGGCTCATGTCAGTGATAGTGATTACATCGTTGCAAAATTATTAATCGAGTCATTTTCAAGATTGCATAAAAAGCTACATGACACACAAGGGGACGGGTAATAACCGGAAAAGCATGACATGGGACCTTTAAGGTGGACATAAACTAAGTGCATTTACTCACGTTCTGTATTCAAGCAGAATTTATATACAGTATTATAGACAGGATGCTTGTACCTGCATTTAATTTGTTTTTATCTTTCTTGAACCAGTAAAGGGAAAAGAAACTGCAATATTTTCTTTGTTTTTTACCTTTTAATAAATGTCCAGAGGATCTTTCGAGCGAGGGGGCAGGGCGGAATAAACCGAAGTAATTTCTAAATAAAAGCCCTCGTCTGGTGAACGCGGGGATGTATTAAGAGAACAAACTGCATTTAACTTATCGTTACAAATAACAAGAGAGAGCCGTAGAGACAGTCTTTAATGTCCTCTCAGAATCTATTTTTATAAGACTAGTTTTCCAATTTTCGGTTTATTTTGAAAGATATTGATCCATAACTCAAACACAAACGATGTCTCTTAACAACCATAGTTAGGTAGACGAGCAGGTTCAGCCTTATTTGCCTGCTGGTTGAATACTATATTCTGTAGTGCCGAGAGACGGGAGTCAGAGGTGGTGTGTCAAAAGACAAAGCTAGTCTTTTATTCAACATGGAACAGCATGTAAACAAACTCAAGCCCGGGGAAACTGACTGACCGGAAAATGGAAGTTCCTCTAAACTAAAATGTCCGTGCGGAACAATACCCCCACCCGTAGTTCCGTGAGTGAATTATGTCAACCCACCACACAAGCCCCCCCAGGATTCACCCATGATCAAAATCCTTGCATCGGGGAGGAAGGACCACCCGACCCCGGCGAGTAAGGACAACAAGGGGCGAGGAGTGCGGGGTCGCAGGTGTGCCCTCGCCGTCAACAAGCTCCGAGGGCAAGGGCGTCCACGAGGGCGAGGGCACCCTGGCAGGGGGTGGCGGCAGAGCCAACTCCAACAGCCTGGAAACGTCCACATGAGAAGGCTTAATCCTATCAATGGACACAGTCTCAGGTCTTCCACCAACGTCCACCACCAGGCCCTTGTCCCTGTGTCGTATGACCCTGAACGGGCCGTCGTAAGGGGCCGTAGGGGGCCGCGGTGGGCGTCGTGACTAATGAAGACAAATTCCGCCGACCGTAGCCCGGGGGACACCCGGACAGCGGGGTTGCTGTGCTGCGATGTGGGGACGGGTGTGTATGTCCCGGCGGTCTCCAGCAGGGAGGAGTGCTGCCTGGCTGCAGACCAGGGCACAGTGGCGTCTGGAATGAAATCCCCGGGGACTCGTAGCGTCTGGCCATACACAAGCTCCACCGACGAGGATTGCAGGTCTTCTTTGGGGGCGCACCTGAGGCCGAGCATAACCCACAGGAGCTTATCCACCAAGTTGCCGTCAGTCAAGCCGGCACACAGGGCTGCCTTCAAGGATCGGTAGAAACGCTCACATAAGCCGTTAGCCTGGGGGTGATAGGCGGTGGGGCGGTGCAGCTTGACCCCCAAACCCTCGGCAACCGCGTTCCAGAGCTCCGAAGTTAACTGGGTTCCCCGGTCAGAGGAAAGGTCAGATGGCGTCCGGAAGCGCGCCACCCACATAGCGATGAACGCGCGGGCCACGTCAGAAGATGCCGTCGAGGTGAGGAGAATGGCATCGGGCCAAAGGGTCATCCTGTCCACCATCGTGAAGAGGTAGGTGAAACCGTGAGAGGGGGAAGGTGGACCTACGAGGTTGACATTAACATGGTCAAACCTCCTCTCGGGAACCGCAAAAAGTTTGAAAGGGGCTCTAGTATGGTGGTGCACTTTAGCCCGTTGACAGGCCACGCATGAGTCGACCCAGGTCTTCACGTCTTTCTTAAGCGCCTGCCACACAAAGTTCTGCGACACCAACTTCACGGACGGTTTCCTGCCGGGGTGGGAAAGGTTGTGAATCGCCTCAAAAATGGGTCGGCGCCAGTTCGCAGGGACTAGTGGTCGAGGCTGGCCCGTGGAGAAGTCGCACAATAACTTTGCGCCTCAGTCACCGACGCAACCTCCTCCAGGCGTAATCCTGTGTCCGAGGCATTGAGGGTCTGCACCCCGGGGTCAGAGGCCCGGTCCGTGCTCATGCGGAGGTAATCGAGGCCCAGCTGCACAGCTACGATGACCGCTCTGGAGAGGCAGTCTACGACCACGTTAGCCTTACCAGCGAAATGTTGGATGTCGATGGTGTACTCGGATATGTACAAGATCTGGAAGGCCGTGAGTTTACGGCGTTCGTGGACCACAAGTCACTCACATTCTGCATGTCCAAGGTGGCCGAGCTGGGGTCCGCCCGCCAGCAACGCCACCTTGGACATGCAGAATGTGAGTGACTTGTGGTCCACGAACGCCGTAAACTCACGGCCTTCCAGCAGGAAACGGAAGTGGCGAATCGCCAACCAGAGGCCAAGGAGTCCCCTGCCGAACTCGCTGTACTTGCGCCCCCTGGGGGTTAACTGTTTGGTAAGTGACTGTCAAAATGCGTATTTCCCAATTTGGGATATATAAAGTATCTATATATCCATCTTAATTTTGAAAAGTACAACTGGAAGTCTTCCTTCACTGCACAACTAACGTCCAAGCTAACGGCTAACCCGCAGAGAAAACGTTCATTATGGATAAAACAGCAACAACAACAATATTGACTCATCGCTTCACTCACCTGTCTCTCCGGAGCGACCACACGGTTCTTTAACCTGTTACGCACGGCCCCCCCGGTACCGGGCGGATAAACGCGTCATTTGCAGGAAACAACGTCTAAGGAATCTTAATATTTAATAAAACTATGAATGTGTTATATCCATGTAACGGGAAGAAACTCAGCTAACTGATCTTTTTAATTTTTTTTTCCAAAAAAAACCCACAATGCTAGCACTCAGCCTCTGAATTATCCACGAGCGAAAAAATGTAACCTAAAACGGCTATTAAACTCACAATAACTCCCTTATTACTTATCCTAGATGCACAGCCAACCACTCGTTTTTGGTGTCCTGGAGACACTGAATCTGTGTAAAAAACCTCAACACTCAGTGATAAACATTTGCGACGCTATAAACGAAAGCGTACATCATAACATGTAGAGCTAAGTAGCTAGAAACGCTAACATGGCTTACCTTGGTCAAAACTGGTCTTCAATGGCATTAAAACGATAAAAAAACGATACTGCAGTTAATCCATAGGTTCATCCAATGTATCTGTGCCCTCTTTGAAATTATTTCTGATAATCCATAAGCAATAAAACTGCTTTTTAGTTTCCAAATGTCAGAGGGAGAGATCGGTCCACTCTGATGCAAAATTACATGCGCGCAGCCCCCACCTTTTCTCTTTACAATGAGTGTGTATGTGGGCCTCCCCCTTCAATTCTATTGGCCCTAATGGTCAGAAAGAGGTGTCAACCATCAAAATCGAGCAAGGGGGGCCAGAGATATGAAAAAAAAAAACATTTTCACCCAAATCACCTCAGAGGTGGGGTGGTTTTGGCTAAACAGGTCAAATGTCACTTGTTTTGCATCAATCTTGATACAGGGTACTTATTATATGTTGTACTTTGGATT